AAAAATATTCTTCTTTTTTTTTTTTTCTTTTCTTTTTTTTGCAGTACTGGGGATTGAACCCAGGGCTTTCATGCTGAGCTACATACATCTCCAGACCTTATTCACTTTGAGACAGAATCTTGCTAGTCACTAAATTACCCAGGCTGGGCTCAAACTCACAATCTTCCTGCCTCAGCCTTGCAGAGTGCTAGGATTACAGGCATGTGCCACCAAACCCAGCTGAAAGATACTCATTTTTACAACATCAGTAAAGTATTTTATTTATTATATTCAAAGTTAGCTTGATTACAAATATATGTAATTTTAATAACAAAATATAAGGCCAGGGATTTAGCTCAGTGGTTTCACCACCTGCTGCGCAAGCCCAAGGACCCAAGTTCGATCCCCAGTACCAAAAAAACAAAAACAAAAACAAAATATAATGAACACAGTTTTTCACCAAATTAAACATTCAAAGTGGTATCTGTCATATTTTAACAAACAGTACAGTATTAGCATATAATCATCTGGGGTTAACTAGTTTAGCCAAAAAAAACTGGCCACTAATCACAGGTGTCAATTTAAAAATCTGTGTAAAATTGTTAAGGTCAATAAATAATTGTACAATTCAGTGGAAAGACAAAAGAATTTTTACTTCAGTGGTTATAAACTGACTACAGACTTTTGTTTTACATAATATTATGTGCACATTATAAGTTCCTCCACTGAAGGAAAAAAGTTTGTATTGTGTTAGTTCCAGTTATAATTTCCAGCTGAGTCAAAGTTCCAACAGGCTTAAAGCAGGAAATCCAAAAGGAAATTCCATTATCAGATCCTGGGGCTTTCAACTCAAAGGTTCTTTGAAACAGAGATATGGAAGTTCTTAAACTATTTACTATAACCTTACCTCATATCTTCAAGCAAATCACATTCTGCTTGATGTTTGGTTTGAAGTTTTGTCATCTGCTCAACTTGAATGTTCTTCAGTTCTTGTGTAACTTTCACCTAGAATACACCATATATTTATGAAGACCTTATTACAACATCAAAAAAATTTAAGGAAAACACAATATTTGTCAGAATATATACCTCTTGCTCATCTCTCCCTGAAGACCATAAACACACTGTCATCTAGTTTTATTCCTTAATGAAAAAAGCAGGCTGCATGAAAATATGCGTATAAAAATTACAGATTAAAGAGGTGCAAAATAAACTGCCAATCATTCTGTTTCATGTACAAGCTCAGCACACATCTAGGTCTTAGAGTTTTTTAAAAGCCTGTCTATTTCTTCCAAAAAATATTCAGACATTAACCACCAGGACAAGTGAGCAAAGTGCAGATGGGAAAAGGAACCATAACAGTACCTAATATCTAGTGACCAAAATTTACACAATCATGAAACAATATGCAGGAATCAACTATATAAATTATTCCATAATGGCTTCAAGAAAGCACACTGTCTCAGGATACCCTCCACTCTGACAGCACATCAAATCACAATCTCTTCCTCACAAAGGAGAAAGCAAAACTGACCTTCCAGCATATGTGAGGCTTTTAAACTAACACAGCAAGCCAGGCCCCGTGGCGGCTCCACTTCAAACAGTGAGAACCGCAAATGCCAGCTGGCCAGAGTCTGGCCCTACCAGGCCGGACCCCAGGATTCCAGGTTAGGATGGTGGAATCCTGGCCGCTGGAATAGGGCTAACCAGAGGAGTGGGGATATATTAGGAAAAATAAAAGGACTCATTTAACTGGAGAAACCCGGATTGTGAAAGAGAAAGAAGAGGAAGCAGACATCGGTTGAGTTAGGCATTCGGCAAATGTTTGCCCAGAAAGGGAGGATACAACGGCCTCCATCCAGTGTACAGAGTAGACACTCGGTATCCATCTGCAGGATTATAACGACAAAGACACAGCCTTGGCCCCTGGAAAAGCGGGCGAAGGGCGCAGCGGGGAAGCTGCTGACAAGCCAGGAGTACCCGTCACTCCCACCCTGGCCATCCAAGCCCAGATTTCGGTGCACACACCACGCAAACCCGGGTTCTCGCTTTTCTGGGGACAGCACCACGTCTTCCTTGCCCCCGACCCGGGGGCGGGGCAAGAGTGAGGACCGAAAGGCAAGACCCCTTAAATCTTTAATTGGCTTTTCCCTAGAGTAAAAGGGCGGCGACTATTCCAACTTCTTTTCCGCAGCCCCGTGGGAAAAGCAGGCCAACCCTTCAGGTTAGGCTAAAAAATTCCCTGCAAATTTCCAAACGGGTGGGGGTGGCGACAAGCAGTTGGAGAACTCAAACCTGGTGCAGACTAAACAATCATACACGCACAAGGCTCTGCAAATCTGCAGGGGTGTCCCCCCCCCGCGCGCCATCTCCCCTTGGTACCCCCCTGAGAATGCACTTTGCAGCGGGTAGCACTGCTATGCTGGCGCACACAAGCAAATGCACACCCGAAACTATTGTAAAATGCCTGAGGATCTCCAGGGCGGTGGAGGAGACCGGCACCGGCCACCCCTCGGTGGGAAAGGCACCTCACATATGCGTCCCCCGCCTGGCGCCTACTGCAACTCAGTGACAAGCCAGAGGCGAGAGCGGTCACGGCCCCCAGTGGGAAGGGGGAGGGGGTGCAGAGGTGGCCCGAGCCGCGTTCCATGTACGCATCCCACGCCCCAAAACCCCAAAGTCCCCCGGCTGCGCCCTACCTTCCTCGGCGGCGGCTGCATGATGCTGAAGGGACATCAATCCTCCCCCGACGGCGGCTTTAGCAAGGACTAGGACGAGGAGGGCTGGAGAGGAGGGAGCGGCCCAACGAGCGAGGTCGCGCGTGTGTGAAAGGAGAACCCGAGGAGGACTCGCCCTAGAGGTAACAAGGCCGGCGGGCAGCAGGAGAACCCAGGCTCCAGCGAGTGTGGGGGAAAGAGAGGAGGAGCGCCGGGAAGGCCTGCGGCCCAGGCGGCCCGGGGGGGTGTGCGAGGGAAGGAGGCGGAGACCGCGAGGGGGCGGAGGCCGGGCGCAGGGGCGCTAGGGTCTCCCACCTTTCGGAGCAGTGGGTGAGGCGCAGCCGCGTTGTCTGCGCTCCCTGCCCGCCGCCGCTCCGCTGCCCTCTAACCCACTCCACCCACTCAGGCAGCTCGGCCCTCGCGGTGCCCAACGCCCCCGCCCGGCCCGTGCAGGAGGAAGGCGACGCCACGCTCCCCGCTAGGGCTCCACCACTCAGGCCGCGGGAATTTCCGGCCTCGCTGCGAGCGCAGCGCCCCGCTCCGGCGGCAGAGGGAACCGCTCAGTCCAGCGCCGGGTTCGTGGGCCCGGCCAGCCTGCAGGGAAGGAACGGGGCCTCGTACCTCGGCGGGGCACCATACTGCGGCAGAGGATGGGGGGAACTAACGGATTGGTCGGTGGGTGGGAGGACAGAAACGCTAGCGGAGCGCGAAAATCCCCCCATTCTCTTAGGGAGTAGCACGTTCCAAGCGCCTCCTGTCTTCCCCCACACCAGGAGCTCGACGGGGGCTTCCCGCGCGCTTTCCCGCCATCCCGCGGGGGCGCGCACGTGGGCGGGAGAGGGCTCTGCGCCGACGCACGCGCACAGGCCGCCCCCGCCTCCTGCCGGCTTTGGCTGCTGCAGCGTTTGTGTTGGAGTGTGGAAGGTTTGAGGGGTGACGCTCACTGCGAGATTTTTTGCAGTGGGGAGGGGACAGCGTGCCCATGGTACCAGGACACTTACATTTTTTGCTTCCTCTCGGTCCATGAACATCACCCTTGCCTGCTAGCTAGAGGTGAACGAAAAGATTGAGCATGGACAAGACCTCTTACAACTAGCGGCAGGTGTCAGGCCTTTGCGAATGGAGGATGGGGTGGGGAAGAAAAGGTAACCATTTGCCCTGCGAACCAGAAAAGGGCTCTCTACGACCGGACACTCAAGTCGAAGTTCACAAACTCTGCTGGAAGGGAGCAGTGGGGTCTTAAAGCCAGGGCCCCCGTCTCACAAATGGGGAGACTAGTGTTGGACATTTTCTAAAGATCACACAGCAAGACTAGAATCTCTGCATCAGGAAGGGTATGTGGGTTAGAAAGAAACAGGTGGAGGGCCGGGGAGTGTAGCTCAGTGATAAAGCACTTACCTAGTGTGTGCCAAAAAAAAAAAAAAAAAAAAAAAAAGGTAGAGGATGAGAATCATCGGTAAAAAGTAGGAAAGGGAGCAGGGGACCTGGAGGAAGCCCTTGTCTGAGAGTTAGGGCCTCTGGATGCCATTGCACCCTGCCTGCCCCAGACTGGCAGAGTGAGCTCGGGCTAGGCAGGGTCTCTCATGCACCTTCCTGCTCTGTCCAGCCTGTCTGCAAGGAAGGGTGTCAGCCTCTCTTGGGGTCCTTGGAAGAGGGAAATGCCACTTCCCCTGCCCAGGGAGTTTTCTAAATTGGATCATCCCCACAATTTTTTCAAAGTTGGGAGTCCCAGACAGCTATTCTCAGAAGTGCAGTTCAGGCAAAAGAGGAAGGTGAATGAAGCCTGAATAAACCAGGGTAAGTTGCCAGATGGCCATATGGCCAGAAATTGGAAAGGTGGAACTTTAACCCAGCTTGTTTATGTTGAGTTAGCCTAGATTCTTGTGTAGGAAAGTGATGTAATCAGAGATGTACTTCAGTCGGATTTGTATAAACTGGTAACCTCACCCTGCTATTTCTGGTATCCTAGAGTCTATTCAAAAATCAGCCCTCCACCCGAGTCCTCAATTAGATCAGGAAAGGCCTGAGACAAGAAAACAGGTAGGTGGGGGCCCAGAGCCCTGACCACTGAGAGGCAGCAGCTAGAGCCTAGGCCAAAGTTAGCAAGGCTGGACTGCAGTTTTCACTGAGTTATTGTAAAGCCTTGGGCTAGTCATTTCCCTTCTTTCAGCCTTTGTTTCCTTGTTCAGTGGAGACATAGCAGGGCATGATGGCACATTCCTATAATTGCAGCACTCTGAAACAGGAGGATTATTGCAAGTTCCTTCAAGGCCAGCCTGAAGTACATAGCAAGACCCTGTCTCCAAAAGAAAAAAGAGGGGGTGTTGGGGATTTAGCTCAGTGGCCTGCCTCACAAGTGCAAGGTCCCCAGTACCAAAAAAAACAAACCTTCCAGAGAGGCTTGTATCAATTAAGATTTCTCCTACTGCAGAGTTTGGCACAGCAATCTTTTTTTTGTACCAGGGACTGAACTCCAGACCTTGCGCTTTCGAGGCAGGCAGCAGCACCACTGAGCTAAATCCCCAGCCCTCGCACAGCAATCTTGCCTCAGCCTCCCAAGTGTTGGGATTACAGGCATGCACCACCACACCCAGCTTGTTTTATTAATTTAAGAGGGCATCCTCTATCTGATTTCCCATTATTCTGAAGTCAGGTATAAAAATGACTTCATGAAATGATTTACTCTGGAGGTTTTATAAAGAGCTAAAGACAATTACAAATGGGTTTACCAGCTGACTGCTTTCAAAAATGTGATTTTGGAGCCAGGTGTGGTGATCCCAGCACTCTGGGAGGCTGAGGCAGGAGGATTGGCAAATTCAAGCCCAGCCTGAGTAATCTAGTGACAGCAAGACCTTGTCTCAAAATTTTCAAAAAGGGCTGGGGATGTAACTCAGTGTGAAACCCCTGGGTCAGTCTCCGATACTGTAAAGAAAAAAAGAGATTTGGGGAGGACTGGGAACATAACTCAATGGTAGAGCACTTGCCTAGTATGTGCAAGGCCCTAGGTTCTATCCTCACCACTGAAAAAAGAAAAGAGGGGTAGAGCTTAAATTTTATTATTACCAAGTGCCTTTTCCAAACCCTAAACTTTCATACCACTTTTCTAACATAATCTTCACTCCAACATTATGAGATAGTATTATTTTCTACATTTTTACAGTTGAGGAACTGGAGGCTCAGTGAAGATAGTGACTACCCCTGAAGTTATGGGTTTGGGAACAGACCCCAACTTTACCATGAGGAATGGAAGAATGGTCCTCTATCAAGAATATTTAAAGGAATTGGGGAAAAGATGATGGTTTATCAAACAACAAAACCCATCTTCCTTTGTCTCCTTTAGACCAGAGTGAGACTCTTGACCCCTGACTAGGCAGGATCAACACCTCTTAGCCAGAAGCAGTTATAAAAAGACTGACCTTCAGCCCTTCTGCACCCCTAAAGAATAAGTGATTGAAGTCTGGAGGGGCAGGAAGGAAGGATAAAATAGGATAGAAGAAATAAAGAAAAGTAGAAAGGAGACAAGGAAAATCAGAATTTTAAAAATAAAAACTGCAACTTCAGGGCACCAGCCCAGTTTAATTTGTTTTTTATGTTCTCCCAAGACACAATAAGCTTAGGCAATTACCCTTTACCTGCAAGTGGGTACACCCATTCCCTTTTATGTGCCAATGGCCCTCTTTCACCTGTGAATAGACTACCTCTTTTCCTCTGTAAAATAGACTTTTCCCTATGAATGAGTCATTATCTTTCCATGGGGTGGCTGTTGTTTTTTCTAAAAACCAAGACCCAAGACAGAACTTCATATTAACTCACAAATTTCATAGGTTTCCACCCTCTCAAAAACATAAATGTTCCCAGCTTGAAAAACCAATGTACCCCCCTCCAGGGTCTATACTCTATTTCTTTGAGTGTGTTCTTTTTTAATTCTGCCTAATAAACCTCTTTATGCCTTATTTTTTTAAAAAAAATAAGCCAGGCATGGTAGTGCATGCCTGTAATCAGAGCACTCAGGAGACTGAGGCAGGAGGTTTACTGTGAGTTCAAGGCCAGCCTGGGCTACATAGTGAGTTCAAGACCAGCTTGGACTATACAGTCAGACCCTGTCTCAAAAAAAAATTTTAATAATAAAGTTATTGGAAAAGTTCACCAAGAAAAAAAGCAAGACTCAAGAGGATATAATACATGTGTTCCAAATCCCATGGGACAGGGAAAGGGATTTCTGTGACTTATGTAAGTAAGCCTGACTTAAAATACACCTCTTTGAACAAGGATGGAGATTTCCAGAGCCCTGTTTCTGCAATGTGGGCAAGCCCTGTGCTCCCAGTAAGAGCTCTTGAGATTTCTTTGAAGGAAATGCTGCTGAGCAGCATGCACTGTGGCCCCTAAAGACAGAACTGGGACAGGCCTCAGCTGAGACTCAAGAAGGATGTTCTCCAGGCAGAGCTGCCCCTGAAGGAGACAAACTCCCCAACCCTGGGGCTCTGCAAGCAGGTGCTGGCTCCCTTCCGCAAAAGAGGCCACAGATGGGATTCTCACCCTGGAAAAAAAATAAACAGCAGCTATCATTTATTTTACCGCTTCCATGTTTCAAATACTGCAGTAGGCATGCCATTTAAGTTGTTTCTAACCTTTCCAACTATCGCTCATACATAGAACCTCGATTTTACAGTTTTCACAGACTGAGGCTCAAAAGTGAAAATGACCTTGCTAAGGTCACACAGCTAATAAGATCCAGGCCTGGCTCTGCTCCCTCTGACTCTGAAGCTGTGCTTCCTACCCTAGCTGCAGTACACTTCTCCCAGGAAGGTTAAGTCAGATCAAAAGCTGTCCTGGAGCAGGGACATAAGTGATCATCAAAAGCCAGGTATTTCAGTATTCCTCAGGACTCCTGGGAAGAAGTGGAGGGAGGTGGTGTGCAGAAGCCCCTTAGCATGGCTAAAATAGGAGCAGCACCCACTCCAGGTCCAGAGCAGGCACCCAGGACAGACTGACACTGCATGCAAGGCCTCCTCCAGAGAAGGTAGCCAATAGCCTACTTGACCATAATGTACCAAGGCACCCCACACACACTTCCTGCAGCTGGGGACCACAGCCCTCTCCACTCCCTCTTGTCTCTCACTATTCCCACCAACCATGGCACAGGCTTGTCAGCACAGCCAGATGCCAGCCGTTCCCTGTCGGCACCACCAAGCCCTGCTGGGGATACTGCAACAGACAATGCAGTCTCCCCAGTCGTACTTCCCTCACCTCTTTTCTTCTCCAGTCCCCTTTCCCTACCCTCCGTTGCCCATGTATGCTCCTCTCTGGGTTAATTCCCTCAACCCAGCTCCTCCAGAGCTGGGGGAGTGTGCCTATATCATTCTCTAGCCAGCTCTCAAAAGGGGATCCCAGCACAATAGGATGAGGC